TGAGGGTGGAGGGTTCAAACCTGGCCCCAGGCCAAACTGCAACAAAAAATATAGCCAGGCATTGTGGTGGGCATCTGTAGTCCCAGCCACTCAGGAGGCTGAGGCAAGAGAATTGCCTATGCCCAAGAGCTGGAGGTTGCTATGAGCTGTGACGCCATGGCACTATACTGAGGGCAACAAAGTGAGACTCTGTCTAAAAAAAAGAAAGAAAGAAAGAAAGAAAATTCTGGCACAAGTGACTAGTGCAGCCAGGAGAATTCATGAAGGTAAACATGGGTAAAGTGTGTGAAGCCTTCCCCTGAGGGTTCATGTCCTCAGGTATACCCCAGAAGTACCATCCCCATCTTACAGCAAGATGTTCCCAGCCCATCACACAGCTGAGGGGTGGTAGAGCCCAAGCCTGGAAGCCCCTAGTTGGCCTCAGCCTGGGCTGGGTACACTTTGGCCCAGACCCTGAGAGCCCAGGCCTTAAAGTGTTCCACTCACCTCTCCTTTCTCTTCCTCTTCCTCTTCCTCTCCCTCTTTCTCTTCCTCCTCCTCTTCCTCTTCCTCTTCCTCTTCCTTTTTCTCTTCCTCCATGGGGGCCTCTGCCTCTCCCTTTGGGCTTTCTGGCTGTACCTCATCCGGGGTCTGGGCCGTGGCCTTCCATTTTTTGGAGGCCTCAAACAGAGGCTCTTCCAGCTTCCACAAAAGCTGCAGGTCCCGGACCTTCTGGCGCTGTAATTCCCGCTCCCTGAGCACGCTGCCAAGCCATGGCCCAGAGCACTGAGTCAGTCTCCCTGACCCACCCTGCCATCCATAGGACTGGACAGTAGTCCCTGCTCCAGGGCTTACCCCACAATGCCTTGCAGGCTGCTGGCCTGCTCACTGCTCTCCATCATCCGCTGCAGCTGCACCCTGGCCAGGTGGGCCACCTTGGTACAAAGCACCTCCTCCACTGACATATCCGGGAAGAGGGTGGTCATCAGCGGGAGTACCTACCAGGAATGGCGGTGACCAGAGCCAGGTGTGGCCCAGAGCAGGGGGCAGATGTACGGTGCCACCCTGCCCTTGCAGAGTCCCACTTGGCCCTTCTCCAGGCTGAAGAGGGAAATGTTTCCCCTATCATTGTTTTCAAACCCAGAACTACCAGGAGACTGTGAGAAAGGGCTGATTCTAAGATGGGTCACTGATGGTGAGCTCATTGTGTGTTCTAGAGCCAGACAGATGTGGGCTTGACAGCTAAGCTGTGGGGCCTGGGGCAAGGCAACTGCCTGCTCTGAGCCTTACTCTCCTCATCAGTAAACTGGGGGAGAGGTGATGATGTTACCTGTTTTGTAGGATGGTGAGGAGGGTTAAACAGAGAGGAAGGAGTTCGTGGGTTTATAACCCTGCCTAGCATGTGGTAGATGCTCTGGCATTAGCAGCTTTTATTATTGTTATCAGACTAGATTTCTTTTAGGAAAAGGGAGTATCTTCAGGAGGCCAGGGGTACTGATTCCAGAGCCCACCCTCCTGGTCCAGCAGGAACGCACCTTGGGTTGCTTGGGGTTGAGAAGGAGGACAGTGGCAACATCCTGGCGGGCCCCAAAAATGTCCTGCAGGAGCTGCCGATTCTTGGCCCGGTATAGGTAGTACTGGGCCTTTTGGGGGTTGTGCTGGATAGCCACTGAGAAGTGGTCCTCTGCCTTCTGGAACTGCCTGCAGGACACAGTAGGCCCCAGGCTGCCATTAGCTGGGCCACCAAGTGGGAAAGGGAAGCTTCTGGCCCCACTTAGGAGTCTGGGGAAAACCAAACTCTCCCACCCGGCTCCCCTACCACATGCCTCCCTTCTTTTTTTTTTTTTTTGCACTTTTTGGCCGGGGTTAGGTTTGAACCCACCACCTCCAGCATATGGGGCCCTCTTTGAGCCACAGGTGCCGCCCCGCACATGCCTCCCTTTCCTCCAGCTACACCCTGATGGACTTAGCACTCAGGTGCTGGTGTGAACCTCCAACATAAGTGAATATTTTTATGATCTTGGGGTAAAGCAAGTCTTTCTGAGAATGTCATAAACTCAGCAGCTAAAATGAAATATTAATTTGAAGGCTGGGTACAATGGCTCATGCCTGTAATCTTTGCACTGGGGGAGGCCAAGGCAGGTGGATTGCCTGAGCTCTCAGGCTGAAGACCAGCCTGAGCCAAAGAGAGACCATGTCTCTAAATAAATAGCCAGGCTTTGTGGTGGGCACCTGTAGTGCCAGCTACTCAGAAGGCTGAGGCAAGAGAATCACTTGAGCCCAAGAGTTGGTAGTTGCTGTGAGCTATGATGCCACAGCACTCTACCAAGGGTGAGAAAGTGAGCAAAATAAAAAAAAAAAAGTAGTCAGGCTTTATAGTGGACACCTATAGTTTCAGCTACTTGGGAGACTGAGACAAGAGAATTGCTTGAGCCCAAGAGTTTGAGGTTGCCGTGAGCTGTGATGCCACAGCATTCTACTGGGGGCAACAAAGTGAGGCTCTGTCTCGAAAAAAAAAAATAGAAATATTAATTTGATGAAGTTTAAACTCCAAGCTATTGAGTAACAAAAACACCACAAAGAGAAGCAATATATAGGGCAAATATATTTTCTTACTCTATAAAGAACTCTAATAACTGAAAAACATTTTTTATTTAATTTTTTTAACTTAGAAACTTCTCCCTAAAAATATATTTTTTCCTTAAAGTCCTGTTTTGTCACCCTCAGTAGAGGTCCATGGCATCACAGCTCACAGCAACCTCAAACTCCTGGGCTCAAGTGATTCTCTTGCCTCAGCCTCCCCAGTAGCACAGGCTCCCACCATAACACCCAGCTAGTTTTAGAGACGGGGATCTCACTTTTTGCTCAGGCTGGTCTCAAACTCATGCGCTCAAGCAATCTGCCTGCCTGGTCCTCCCAGAATGCTAGGATTACAGGCCTAAGCCACTGTGCCCAGCCTTTTTTTTTTTTTTTTTTATCACCTATTAAACTAGAAGAGTTTGCCTGTTAATAGTATTAACACTCAGTGCTGGGGAGATTTGGGGGAAATCAAGGCTCTCTTTTCTTGGGGGAAGTTTATATTGGTTCACTAGTTTTGGAGAACTATTTGATATTATTTATTAAAATGTTAAATGTTCACATCCTTTAATCCAACAGTTTAACCTCCAGTGATCTAACCTACAGCTTTACCAGTATAAATGCATTAAACATATTTTCTGGATGCTCATGACAGCATTATTTATAATAAAAAACTGGAAATAGCCCAAATATCCATCAGTAAAGGATTGAAGGATTGTCTAACGTAATCAATTGTAGGGCGGCACCTGTGGCTCAGTGAGTAGGGCGCCAGCCCCATCTACTGAGGGTGATGGGTTCAAACCCGGCCCTGGCCGAATAGCAACCAAAAAATAGCTGGGCATTGTGGCGGGTGCCTGTAGTCCCAGCTACTCGGGAGGCTGAAGTAAGAGAATCGCTTAAGCCCAGGAGTTGGAGGTTGCTGTGAGCTGTGTGATGCCATGGCACTCTACTAAAGGCAATAAAGTGAGACTCTGTCTCTACAAAAAAAAAATAAGAAAAAGAAATCAATTGTAAGGCTGGGTGCAGTAGCTCATGCCTGTAAATCCTAGCATTCTGGGAGGCCAAGGCAGGTAGATTGCTTGAGCTCGGGAGTTTGGAGACCAGTCTTAGCCAAACCGAGACCCCATCTCTACTAAAGATAGAAAAAACTGAGGCAAAAGGATCGCTTGAGTCCAAGTTGGAGATTTCTGTGAGATATGATGCCACAGCACTCTATCCAGGGTGACAGCTTGAGTCTGTCTTAAAAAGAAATCAATTGTACCTCTACAGAAGGGAGTACCATGCAGACAATAAAAGAGAATGAGATAGTCCTAGATGTAATGCCATGGAAAGGAAAAAAGCCACTCAAAGGACAATTGAGCATGATCTCACTTTTGTAAATTAATAATTGTTACTATACATCTAGGAAAAAGTCTAGCGGAATCTTTACTAAACTTAGAGGGAAGGGCTTGGGAGGTAGGTATTGGACTGATAGCTCATATCCTGGATCATTACTGAACACTGAAAAAAAAAGTTTTTTTTTTGAGACAAAGTCTCACTTTATCACCCTCGGCAAAGTGCTATGACGTCATAGCTCACAGCAACCTCCAACCCTTAGGCTGAAGTGATTCCCTTGCCTCAGCCTCCCATGTAGCTGACACTACAGGTGCCGACCACAGAGCCGGGCTATTTTTAGAGAGGAGGTCTCTCTCTGGCTCAGGCTGGTCTGGAACTCCTGAGCTCAGGTGCTCTACCCGCTTTGGCCTCCCAGAGTGCTAGGATAACAGGCGTGAGCCACCGCGCCCCAGAGGAGCGGCATCTTGACTCAGGAATCCCTGCAAGTGGTTTTCTACTGGGCCAGCTCCGCCCCCCCGGGCAGCCCCGTAGGGCCCCAAGCCCTCGCGCACCTGCGCCTCTGCTCGCAGGCGCCCATCCTCTCCTGCAGCAGCCCCATGCGCATGTTGGCGCCCTGGTCCTGCGGGCTCAGCGCCAGTGCCTGCTTGTAGTCCGCCTCAGCAAAGGTCAGGTGGCCCAGCTGGAAGAAGCAATCTAGGGTCCGGGGGCGGGGGCTGAGTGCTTAGACGACTCCCAGTGCCCAAGAGCCCCAGTTCAGCCGGCTGCAGCCCAGGACGGGGCCTGACATTGGTGGCGGATAACGCCCGCCTATAGACGGTCGTGGTCTCTGTCTCCCCTAGTTTTCTGAACATCTGGGCACCTTTTCTCAGCTGCCTATTTCTGTGCATTTTAAAGACTGTAGCCAATTTATGTAAGGCAACATTTCCCAGAGTGTGCCCCTGGGACAGAGACTATTAAATGTTTCCTCTTTCCTCCCTCCTTCCCTCCCTCAGGGGCCTCAAGTGCCAAGTCCAGGCCTTAGGGATGGCCAGGGGCCCACCTATGCCCCAGCTCCCACCCCAGCTCTGGACCCCACGGACCGCCTCGGTTGATGTAAAGGCCTTTCTCCTGCTGTTCGTCCCTGAGGGCTTTGTTCAGCAGGAGCACGCCCTCCTGATAGGCGCCCTGCACGTAGCAGCGCACCGCAAAGTCGTTGTAGGCCAGCAGCAACTGGCGCTGTGCCTGCTGCACCATGTCCTCCTGGCTGTCGGTCACCATGTCCAGCACCTTCAGGAGGTCTTCCACCGCTCGGTCAAACTCCCCCTTCCTTCGGTACATGGTGCCCCTATGGGGGAGGGCAGAGAAGGGAGAGTCAGGGCAAATGTGCCCCCACTGGCTGGCCAGTGGCTGTGCAAGCCACTGACCCCTCTGGGCCTCCTACCTCATTGGGCTGGCTCAGGATGGCTATTTGATAACCTGCTAGTCACTGGTAATTTGATTTTTCTCAAAAATAGCTACCCTCACTTTCTTTTTGGGAACCAGATGTGTGCCAGCCTCTATGTTAAGGCCTTTTTGTACTTAAGACAGACATGTTCCCACACTATTTAGATGGAAAACTCAGGCTCACAGAGGGTAATTTGCACCAAATCACATGGTAAGTTCTTGAGGGACTGGATTCAAACCCAAATCTCCTTCACCAAGCTGGGCTGATCCTCCCAGTATGACTTGCTGGGAGACCTGAGGTTCTAGGGTTCCTAGGATAACAGGAAGCTGTTGCCTGCCCCTCTTCCAGAAGCAGAAACAGAGACCACCTCCATGATGCCTTGACCCTAGCAGGAAGTAGGGACAGATTATTAGAGGCTAAATGGGGAAACTGAGGCCAGAAGCAAGTCAGGGACCCTCCTTAGACCACACAGCAAGGCTGTGACAGGGCAGGGACTGGGACCTTAGGCAGGCACCTTCCCACACAGTACCGGAAGAGGAAGAGGCTGGGGTCCAGGGGGTTGTTCTGGATGGCACAATTGATGCGCTGCAGTGCATGCTGCAGTTTCCCCTGCACGGCCAGGATCCCTGCATCTTGGCATGCCTGCTGGGCCTGCTCCACCATCTTCCTGAGCAGTAACTTGGCTTGCAGGTGGTTGGGTTCCAGCAGCAAGGCGCTGTGCAGGTCCTGGTAGCAGAGGTTGGGCTGCAGGAGCCAGGGAGGTCTCAGAGGTACAGGCTGAACTGGCCCTGCCCTGCCCAGGGGGAGGGAGGAGGGTAGGCCTCCAGGCCTCAGGGGCTTTCCTCCAGGCAGGCCGGCATCACACCATCCCTTCTCAGTGCACTCCCAACCCCCTCCCAGTTCCACCTTTTCTGGGACAGAGAGCACTGTGGAGAAATCCTCTCCCAGGCCCCATCCCTGCTGGCCCTTTTCTAGGTGGGACCTCAGGTGAGCCAGGTCATCTCCATGCTTTCTGCCAACACCTCCCCTCTGTGAGACTCCTGTGAGACTGATTTGAAGGGGGGGTGGTGACCTGTGGGCTGAACTGCCATGTTCTCCCTATCCTCTCCTGTGCTTCCTCCCCCTATCCCTGACCTTTAAGCTCAAGACAGCTCTGACCAAGAACAGATTCAGGCCTGGGTTTAGGCAGAAAACATTCCCTGCAAATACCTTCCAGAGGGTGTGCAAGTCAGTCAGTCAGTCAGTCAGTCAACAAACAGTTTTAGCAAGCACCCTGTTTCCTGTAGGGCAATTGGTTGGGGAGTAAACAGGAAAAACAGTGTGGACAGCAGATGTGTGTGGAAATAGACAGAAGCTAGGAACAGGGCTCTGAACAGCACCACTGAGAACTGGCTGCTTGACCTGGGGCAAGTCACCCTGAGCTGGTTCTTCCTCTGTGAAAAGAGGACAATGGGTGGAACCCACCTCAAAGTGTTACTGCGTGCCTCACAGATAAACAATGGACAGCAGAAGCTGAGGTGGTAGCGGTGGCGAAATCACACAGCCAACAATAATTATCAATAATTACTAGTCTCTTGCCATTGAATCACTCGTGGGACACTAAAACCCAGTCCTTCAACACAGGGAGACATGTGCTCAGGGACATCTCCCCTGGGTTGTAAGCTCCAT